GCCCCTGCCCCATATCCCTTTCAAATGCCCTTGGAGCCAGGGAATGCCTCCCAACCACTTTCCATTCTGCCACCAAAGGGACTTCCCAAACACCTCCAAAACCTCCCCAGTGCCCCACTGTCCTTGAACTAGAACTCCAGGCCTCACCTTGCCCTCCCAGGCTTGTTCATTATGATGCTAAGATCCCTTCATGTAAGATCAGGTTGCTTCCTGAAGTGGGTTGGGAGGACAGGTGAGGCTGCACAGGGGATCAACCTGTGGCTAGACCTTCTGGCAAAAACTGGGACAAGCCACAAGAAAGGTCAAGGTGGACAGCAGGGTGAGAGCTCGTGGAGACTGGAGGAGACAGCAGGGTCAGAGCTCGTGGAGTACAGATAGGGGCTCAGAGGCGGGGCCACCTGCTCCTCAGCTCTGTGCTCTGGCCCCACAGGACACTCGCCCCTCTGCTTCTCTCTTTGCATTTTCCCTTCTGCTCTCACTACCAGCCCACTGTCTTTCTTTTTCTATCTCACTACTTCAAAATCCCCTGGGGAAAGGATCTATTGATCCAATGGGTCCCAATATTCCATGTTCTCGCCAGGCCCCGACTGGACTTGGAGCAGGTGCCCAGCCAATTTATCCAATTGGCTAAAATAAGAGCAGGGAGGTGGGTCACACAGTTTCTGAAGCTGGTCTTCTCATCCTGGGGTGGACTGGCTGGCGTTCTAAGAGCCAGCCCCGAGGCACCACCTCCAGGGGACCAGCTGCTGAGATCACATGGCACCCTTCCAGCCCTCTTCATCTTGCCCATGCTCTTCCCCCAACCAGGGACACTCAGCTTTCAAGCTCAGATAAATGCTACCCCTCCTGCCCTCCTAGGAAGCCTCCCCGAAACCCCTCTAGCTAGAATGAACCCCTCATTCTAGGTCTTTACTGCTAGTCGACCACAACTTTTTGTTAGCACTGATTTCCTTCTTTCTTTTATTGTGAGTTGTTGCCAGCCTGTCCCCTTCATTGGGCTGTAAACACTGGAGACAGAGACTATTTTCTCCATCTTTGCATACAGTCCAAGTGCCTAACACAGAGCACTGCATATAATATAATAAGCTTTCTGGGCAATATTTTGTTGGACAAATAAGTGAATAAATGATCTGGATAATTCCACATAATAGATGGTCCCAAAGTTCATTCTCTTTTTTCTTAGATGCATCTTACAATTATTTTAAACACTAATACCCTGAGGGCTCTAAGACCACCCCCTTCCCCCCCTCACCCTGCACCAGCTCCTCCTCAGTCAGAACTAGGGTCCTGCTCTCTGTCCCTGTGGGCCGTGCAGGAGCCTGAGTGTCAGGGCTGTGCGTGGAGGTCCTGCCAGGGCAGCCTTGGATGTGGTTGGACGGCTGTGGTGGCCTGGGTGGGGTGGGAGGTGTGGACAGCTCCCCCGTGCTCTCCCTCACGTCCCCGAAGTTTCCCCATGCTCTGACTCAGCTCCAGCATCTCGCTTTGTGGATGAATGCCCCGCTCCTAGACAGAGAGCTGATTCAGCCCAGCAGGGCTTCTGGAGGGCTCCCAGGAGGGGGAGGCCAGGAACACGGCCCACAGACAGTGAAGTTGGGGCGATGGCCAGTTCACTCCAGCTGCAGCCCGGGGCACGTTCCTCTCTGTCCCCTCCCCCACCCCACATACTGCCAGTGCCTCCACGGTGCCCAGCCCTGTGGGCAAACAGGAGACTGTAATATACCTGGGAGCTCAGCTGCTAGTGTCCCACAGCTCCTCTGCCCTGCCTCTCTCTCCTTCCATCTAGGTGTAGGTGTGTACATGAGTGTTTGTGCTTGTGTGTGCAAGAGCATACACCCTGACAGCAGGTGCAGATGAAGCCTCCATCGGGGTCCCTGCACCTCCCCAGGACTGCCACAAACAGAGCCGCAGAGGGACTCCAGCCCCCATTGAGCTCAAAGAGCCACCAAAGGCAGGCTTCAACTTCTTTTTCCCATATAACTGGCATAATGATGTCACAACTTGATATCAGTTGATAAATTAACACACACTCAAATATACATATCCATTTGATAATTTTTGACAATTTGGGTGCAGCTACCATCCAAGTTATAGAATAGTTCCATCTCCCCAGAAAGTTCTCTCATTCCCAAAGAGAGAGGAACACCATGGTGCAGGGAAGGGCTCTGACGGCCTAAGGGAGCTCACGGCCAAGGGCCTGGCTTGCTGACCGCTGGCCTAGGCTTCTCGTGGGCACCTACTGGGACAAAGCATGAGGCAGAAGGACAAACAACCCCCCCCAACTCCAATCCGAAGGGCCCCCACTATGCTGTGCATGGATTGGCCTGGGGGCCTCTGTCTGCACGCAGGTCCGTGCCATCTGGGGCGAGAGGAGGTCTCTCCGTGATCACAGGGAGGCTCTGTTCGACCGCACAGCTCTCTGGGCATCTCTGTGTGTCTGCTGTGTGCATGCGTGTCCCACTGCATGGGCTTGTGTGCGTCTGCACCTGTGCATGTGTCCATGTCTCAGAGCAACCCTTTTGCGGTGCAGGATTTATTGCGCCTGCTAAATGGAAACGCAGCGCCTTAGTCTCTGAGCATCTGGAGGCATGATGACTGCATTGTGGAGTGTCCACAAGGGCTTCAAAATGTTCCTCAGCACACATGTCTTAGCCTGGCACTCGGGTCCTCTGCAGCCGGGCACACAGGGTGTTCCCAACACAATCGTCCACTCTCACTGGTCACAGACAGGAGAGACTGCCACTTCCTGGCTGTGTGACTTTGGGCTTGTCACTTTCCCTCTGTGCCTCTCAAATGTAAAATGATCTGTGAAAAGTGTCAAGCGTGACTTGCTCACAAGGGATGTTTCATGTAGCTTCCTGGCCTTTGGTACAGAGTTTCTGCTTTACGATATGGAAAGTTATGGAGCTAGTACTGGCTGTGTGGGACAACATTATGAATGTACTGAATACCATTTAACTGTCCACTTAAAATGGATAATATGGTAAATTTTATGTTATGCATATTTTAGCAAAAAATTGGGGAAAAAAGGACTTATGTCTATGATTTGGCCTTGTGTTGTGTATCATGAGGGAAGCAGGGGATGGCCTTGGTAATCTTCAAGCCTCTCTGGAGAGACAAGGTTGGTCTTGGTTACCAGACTGGCTCTGGGGAGACAAGATTGTGCCCTGGCACAGTCTAGGCAGTGTGGACGAACTGCAAGATTTTCTCCTATGTTTTCTTCCAGAACTTTTATCATTTCAGAATTTACATTGAGGTCTATGATCCATTTTGAGTTAAATTTTATATATGGTTCAAAGTATGGCTCAAAATTCTTTTGTTTTTTGCATACATATATCCAGTTTTTCCAGGATCATTTGTTGAAAAGGCTATCCTTTCTTCACCTTTGTCGAAAATCACTCAGCCATATATCTGTGGATCTATTTCTGGACTCTCTATAATTTTCCATCGATTTATCTATTTTTAAATCAAACACACTATATTACTTACTACAGTTTTATAGTGTTCTTAAAAATTAAGATATTCACATATCATATATAATTCACATATCATATATTTATGTTTTAAGTGTACAATCCTGTGGGGCTTATATATTGACAAAGTTGTACAGTCATCACCACTATCTAATTCCAGAACATTTTTATCACTCCAAAAAAAAACAAAACCCTGGAACCATTAGCAATCACTTCCCCCCCTTGCCTCCCCTCAGCCCTTGGCAGCCATTAATCTACTCTGTCTCTATGAATTACACCCAGTGGTGTGGTCACTCCTCACAGCTAACTGTCCCTTCCTTGCTACCAATTAGGTCGTAATACTAATCCTAAATCCTGTACCCTTCGTTCCCTTGTACTCCTTTTTAATAGTCTTATTGTATCTTCCTAAAATATTTTTAAAATTTTACCTATCTGTAACTTTGCAAAAATTTGCTACATGTAATTGGGGAGGGCACTTACTTTTTTCACGTCATGTTACACTGCTGAGGTTTATTCATATTGTCTACAGTTTACTTATGTTAACCCTTATATGAGACTATGCCACAGTATAATCTTGCACTCTCTGTAGCTGGACATTTGGACTGTTCCCAGGTTTTTGCTATTGTGAAGGGTACTGCTATGAATACTCTTGCACATGTTTCCTGAGTACATGTGAGTGAGTGAAAACCTGGGACATAGATTATGTTCATTTTCAACTTTAGAAAATCACACAAAACTGTTTTTTAGAAATAGCTACCCATTTATACTCCCACCAACTATGTACAAGACACCCTATGGGTGTGGATCCACATACTCTAAAAATTTGGTATTGCCAGACTTGTAAAAACTTTACCAATTGAATAGGTGTAAAACAGTGTTTCATTATGATCTGATTTGTTTTCTTGATAACCAATAGCCTATGCCAAGTTTATCTGCTACTTCTTCCCAGCTCACTCCCAAGGAGAGGTGCTAGCCTGAATGCTCTCGCTGAGGACTGCTGATTTGGTCCCATACAGAGGTAAGAGAAGAGTTGAGCATTAATGGATCACAAGCATCATGTGTTCTCCATCCAGCTGATGGGTAAGTTAACTTAGTAAATTGAGCCAGATCTTACTCTACAAACCTGGTCATACGATTCCCCTCTACCCTTGATTTCTGCCGTGCAACCCCAGCCACGAGTTGGTGAGCTCACAAACTTTGGATCAGGGCTAGGGAGAAATAAGAAGTCTTGTTCAGCTTAGAGTGCAAGCCCCATGCTCCAACTCACCTTTTGCCCAAGACTTGCACTGATGCCGCTATTAAGTGCAATTTTGATTCCTATTTCATTCCTGTTCCTTTCAGTGGGAACTTTGTAGAGCTGAGAGGAAGAGAGTAGAAATGATCAGCAGAACAGGAGTCTTTCCAGAATGTCTCACTCTCTGCCACCAAATGCCAACCACACCTCTTCCTCTGCGATGGGAAAGGCTTTCCAGCCCCTCTGTGAAGTGGCCCCTACCCTGTGTTCCAGTGTTCCTGCCATTTCATGTCAGCCTGTGGTGTTCCTGAAATGCTGGTCCTTCTTATGTGTCTCCAGCATTTAGCATGGTCCCTGGCACTTGGCATATATATATATGTGGAACTGACAAGTTGGATGGGTATTGACACCCCCATTTCCTGGATGCAACTCAGAGAAGCCAAGTGATTTCCCCAATGTCACACAGCTAGTAAGAGCTGGATCTGGACGCGACATCAGGCTGGCCTGATTCCCAGTCCCTGCTCCTGTCCGCGGGCAAGGCAGAGAGCTGCTTTCCCTGGCACGGCCCCATTCGTATCCGGAGAGGGAAACTTCGGCTCACGGGGATTACCTGCTCCAGCACTGACAGCGTGTTCATCTCGTCCACTTATCTGCCGTCTATCTTCCTTCTAGCGGAGGTACTGTGGGCATACTTCTTATTAAATTAAGCATGAGATGAAATCATTTATTTAAAGCCTTTTACCTGCCCATTTCCCCAGGGCAGTTCTTTATTAAGTGATTTCTCACATTTTCCAGGTGACTCAGTCAGTGTGATGGGTGCAGAGCCGGGGGAAGAGAGGGAGGACAGAGACAGAGACAGAGAGAGCCAATAAAGGCTGCCGGGGTAGCTGGCGGTGAGAGGTCAGCGTTTATGGCATGGGGCAGAGCGGGTGTTTGATGCTTCCGGGGACAGTCCTCTGCCCCCAGAGAGCCTCAGGAGCTACCCAAAATGCCCTCAGCAACAATTATGCCCTCTGAGCCCCTCGCTTGTAAGTGCTGATTTCTCCCAGGAGGAAAAGCAGTTTCTCTGTGTCTCAGGGCAGGTCCTGTGTTCCCGGTGGCCTGGGAAGCAAGATGGAAAGGCCTGGAAAGGAGAGGGAGGTAACAGCAGAGGCCAGACTTCGTCCAGTGTTGAGGGGGCTAGGCCCCCGCGAGGGAGAAAACCTCCCTCCGGCAGGGCTCAGCGCCTGAGAGAGTGACAGGGCAAATAACTGGAACATGGCCACGCTGCTCTCATGGCCGTTGCTGTCAGGACTTTGAGAAATCCAGGAGAATTTGTGAAAAGAAGAGGCAACTGGGCTGGGTGTCACTCTGCTCTCAGGGCTCAAATGTCCTGTTTGTCAAATCGGGTCAAAGCTGTATGTGTGGATCACATACAGGACACCTGAACCTCAGGGTAGACAAGGCATTTTGTGATATGCCTCAGGGCAGGCTGGTCACCCAGACAACCTGAGAAAATCAAGGCCAGGACACCTGGGCCCTAATACCAGCTTTCCTGTTTGACATTGGTCAAGTCTCTAACCTTTCTGGGCTTCCACTGTAAAATGAGGAAATTAATACTTACCCTTCCTACACCATGGGGGTTGAGAGATCTAAATGTAACCCAACTGTGAAGAAGCTTAGAAGAATATAAAGTTCTCTTACAGAGAAAGGTGTTATGATCATCTGTGAAGAGGAGCTGCAATATTTCAGAATAATAGATGCTCAGTTTTATAAACAAAGAGGTATCTTTCTCAGATTTATTTTAAAAGGGTATCATTTGCTTTAAAGAAAGGGATCATCCCAGAATGGCCATACAAAGTGTGGGTCAGAAACACTTCCCTCTATCTGGATGCCTGAGTGGCTGTAGTGCCCATGCCCCAGGAAGTTCCCATCCAGGGGGTCATCAGGCTTGGTGCCACATGACACCCTCAATCTGGCCCAGCCAAAAACACAAGGCACAGGTGTGGGCAACCCTCAGCTGGCAAGGTAGCAGGTATGAGCTCTCTGTGCCCTAGGGCTGTGCTCAGCAGGATGCTGGTTGGGTGACCCACGACACATGGTGTTCCAACCCCATCCCTCAACCCCAAAACTTTCCTGCTACCCCAAACCCTGTACAGCCTCATTCTTCTGCTCCACTTTATTTCAAAACTCCTCAAAAGAGCTGTCTAAATTCACTGTCTCCGACAAGGAGGAGCCCCTCTCCAGTCATTTCTTAAACTCATTCCAGGTGGGCTTCTGCCCCCATCCTTCCACTCCTGTCAGAGCCACCACTGGCCTTCGTGTTGCAAAATGATGCACGGTGGTCACTTCCCATCTTCCTCCACCTCCCAGCAGCAGTTGACGCAGTGGTTCAGATCACTGTCTCTTCCCTGAGGCATTTCTTCTTTTGGTGTCCAGGAACCCCCTTTCTCGGTTCCCCTACACCTTTACTGGCTGCTCCTTCTTGGTCTCTTTTGCAGGATCCACTTATTTTCTTGATTTTTGAATGTTGGCGGATCCCAGAGTTCAGTGCTCTTTCTCTTCACTATTCATACTCACTTTGTAGTTGAGGTCATCTGGTCCCGTATTTGACCATGAATGTCCTGATAATCCCAAATGTACACTTCAGTCCAGACCTTTCCCGTAAACACCACCCATGTATTACATTCCCACCCCAAATGGCCGCTTAGATGGCATCTCTAAGTATGACCAAAACCAGACTCCTGACATTCCGCATCCCTCCTCTCCAACATTTACCCGCCTTCGTGCAATTCATCAGCAATTCCTGTTGGCTCCCCCTCGGCAGCCACCACCCAGTCCCGAATCACCTGTGCCCCACCCAGAGACCTGCAGCAGCCTTCCGCCCTCTCCTTGCTCCATCCTCGTCCCCATGTGCCCGTCCCAGCAGCCAGAATGGTCCTTCATGACATAAAAGTAGATCACGACACGCATTGGCCAATACTCAGAGGCTGTACTACACAAAGAGTGGCCCCTACTATGAACTATGGATCTAGTTAACAATAACATACCAGTATTGGTTCATCAGTGATAAGAACTACACCACTGTAACACGAGAGGTAAACAATAGGGAAAGGGGGTTGGGGGCATGTAGGAACTCTGTACTTTCCCAGAAATTGTTCTGTAAACCTAAAACTGCTCTTAAAAAATTGAGTGTATTAATTTTTTAAAAAAGTAGATCACATCACTCCTGTGGCCTAAACCTTCCAGGGGCTTCCATCTCTCCTGGGGAGGAGGGAAGCAGAGCCCCTATGATGGCCTGAAAGACCTCACATGGTGTGGCCTGTGTGGGTGTGGCCTGTGTGGCCTCACTGTGCCCCACCATGCGGGCCCTTTGTTCCTCCTCAAACACAGCAAGTCCCTGCCCCCACCCCAGCACTCAGTATCCTGGCCCTCTGCTTGCTGTCCTCAGACCTCACCTTGAAGTTCAGCTTGTCAGAGCTCAGGAGACTCGGCCCCTCCCCTCTCACTCTCCCTCACAGATGCTTTATTCTTCTATGCATGGAGCACTCCCTGACTTATTTTTATTTTTTAGTAAGAATATTGCTGTATTTTCCTACAGGTCATTTTTCTATGGCTGCAACATTTTCTCCTCAAAATGAAATGAGCAGAAAATTCACGAGGTTTAGAATTGGGTCACTTGGGGCTTTCTCCTCTCATGGCCTCCCAATTCACAGCGCCTGCTTCTCTTAACGCCAGCGTCCCCTCGGCTCGCCGTCAGGCTCAACACATTCGGGCTCAGCACAATCCTCTTCGTGGCTTTAGTCTACTTCTGGAAAACTGGCTTTGTCTGCCCACCCCGGCCACTCTGCGTCCCGTCACAGCACCTGCTTCCCAGAGCACACAGAGAATCCCTGCCCTTCTTACCCTGGGTCACTCTGTGAGGCTCGCTCACCACACTTCTTCCAGAAAGTTCTGTGGGTTCCAGGGACATTGGCACCTTTGCAGTCCCGATGTCTACACAATCAAAATGGGGAATTTGGTGTCTGCCCTCTGCACCTCGCTCTCCTCGAGCCTCCCTTCTGAGGTGTGAGAGATGTGATGTTTTCTGTCTTCCTCTGCTCGAGTGTAAGCACCATGAGCACAGGGACTTTGTGTGTTTTGCTTAATGCCTCATCTTTTTTTTTTTTTTTTTTTTGAGACAGAGTCTCACTTTGTTACCCAGGCTAGAGTGAGTGCCGTGGCGTCAGCCTAGCTCACAGCAACCTCAAACTCCTGGGCTCAAGCAATCCTCCTGCCTCAGCCTCCCGAGTAGCTGGGACTACAGGCATGTGCCACCATGCCCGGCTAATTTTTTCTACATATATTAGTTGGCCAATTAATTTATTTCTATTTATAGTAGAGACGGGGTCTCGCTCTTGCTTAGGCTGGTCTCGAACTCCTGACCTTGAGCAATGACCTCTGCCTCCCAAAGTGCTAGGATGGCAGGGGTGAGCCACCGCGCCGGCCATTAATGCCTCATCTTTGATGCCTAAGAACAGCCTGGTACCTAGTAGGGTAGTTAATATAAATTTTTTGATTTAATGAATTAAAAGACTGGTAGAGCAAATGAGAGTCCTTCCGGAAAGTGTGTCCTGGAAAGGCTCAGAAAGTCAGTATCAGCAGGCTCAGGGCAGCCAGAGGACGAGAGTGGCCCTGTCGCCATAACGATGGAGTTTGACAGAAGGAACTTCAGCATCCGTTGCTAAGGGGGTAACCAGATACCCATGTTGCTCCAGCTGTGTTGTTCCTAAACAATAACATATTTTCCAACTGGTGATTCAGGCTCCCTGAGATCTGGCTGTGTAGTGCATTTGAGGTTGTTTCCTGTTCTTTACTTCTCTGTACTCTTTCAAAAAAAAAAAACCCTCATTTAGCTGAGTTAACCCTCATGTCTCCTTTGTTTGCAAAGAGAAGGACCCAATTCACACAGAGAGGTAAACAACCATCCTCATGCCCAAGTCTACAAATTTAGTATTAAATTTTTTTACCTGCTTGTTTTCTTAGTTTCTTCTTGACCAACTTCAACTTGTTCCAGGTTTCAGGGAATCGAAAACAACAGATGATAATGTTGTCTCAAAAATGTTGATGTTATAAATAGCATCTTTCCAAATCTTTGCTTGCATCTCTGATCATTTCCTTTGGCTCTCTGTCGAACAGTAGCATGAGGGGGTCTAAGGCTATGAATCCTGCTTATGTCCAACTGTAAGGTAGGGTTTTCTTTTTTAAGGTAAATTGTTCCTCAGAAAAGCAGAAATCCCTTATTGTCAAGTGCTTATAAATGCTTTTATTAGCAGCACTTTAAAAATAACAGTTAACTTTTGAACAACACTCAAAAATTTTTGTGTAACTCTTGACTCGCCCAGAATTTAACTACTAAATAGCCTATTATTGAGTGGAAGCCTTATTGATAACATAAATAATCAATTAACACATATTTTGCCTGCTATGTATTATATACTGTATTCTTACAATAAAATAAGCTAGAAAAAAGAAAATGTTATTGAGAAAAATATATTTACTATTCATTAAGTGGAAGTGGATCATCTTCAAGGTCTTCATCCTCATCATCCTCACGTTGAGTAAGCTGAGGAGGAGGAGGAAGACGAAGGGTTGGTCTTGCAGTTTTGGGGATGGCAGAGGTGAAAGACAATCTGTATAACTGGATCCGCACAGTTCA